GGGGTTTTCGCCCCATATAAATTTTGTGCCGTTTCGGCCAAAAATAAAATCAGGAATTTTTTGTCCATAAATTCCTCTACCTCCAACAGAAACAAGTAAGGGCACCTAACAACGTCAGTTAGGTCCCTGAAACAAGTAAGGGCACGACACTTAGAACAGCAATTCGGCAAAGTAAGGGCACGAGAACCGAAGTACATTTCCACCAAGTCCACTCCCAAAGTAAGGGGACGTCAATTCTACACACCTTCCACTGTCAAGTAAGGGAACGTGTACCAAAATTTTCCCAGTCCCAACCAAAAGTCAGGGGACCAAAAACGAGCCGACAGGCAAAAAATTTGACAAGTCCCTACAAAAGTAAGGGAACCAAGAATCAAGCTACAAAAATTTTTACAAGTTAGGGGAGCTAAAAATACAACAGCAAGCAAGAATAAGTGAGGGGACGTTCTAAGACATAGAGCGTCCAAACTAAGGGCACGTCAAGTTCCCCAACTTATACCCCAAAAAGTTGGGGCACGTCGAAAAATCAGGCACAGCACACACACTTACTTGTTTAGAAAATAAGTAAGCGAAACACACAAAGTTGGGGCAACACCTCTGCCCCAACAAGTGAGGGCACGCCTGCTCTCACAATATCTCTGTGAAGTGAGGGGACGACTTGCGAAGAGCAGATTTTCTCAAAAGTAAGGGGACGTCTCCCTGCATGTAAGGGGACGTCTTCATAAGTCATGAGTGGCGACGAAGCTGCTAATTACTCCGCAGAGGCTGGAGACACGGACAACGAGAGTGTCAAGAGCTTCAGTCGCAGGACCACCAAAAAGAAGTGTCCAAAAAGTAAGGGCACGACTTATAGAATCGGAGCAGCGATGTATAGAATGTGTCAAACACCTGAATTTTTTGGACAGACACACCGATGAAGAGTCGCAACCTCACCTCCAGCTCATGATCAACCACATCAGATCAGCCCATATCTACTTCAAACCTCCACAGGGTAAAAGGAAAAATACAAGCCCTGGAGAAGATTCCAAAGGGGCCAAAAAGAAGGGTACGAAGGAGAGACCGAGCAACTCCACAATATCAGAGGGTAGACCCCCTCCCCCTACCCTAATCAGGACAACAGGCTTTGGGAACCTCTTCAGCATCCCGACTAAGAATAAATTTCAGGTCTTAGAGCCGAAAGAGCCAGAACCTGAACCAGAAGCCACACCACCTTAGGGCGCCTGCAGCTGCAGCTGCAGCCACTGGAAAAAAGAGCCTCCCCCCTCCAATAGTTATTAGAGGCAAACTCAATAACCATAAGCAGTTTTTGGAAATGGCGGGTACCATCACATCCGAGCCCATAGAGCTGAAATATGCTAGGAACTCAGTGATCATATACACCAAAAACATTATTGTATGGCTCGGCACCTGAGAGACAACGGAGCCGAATTTCATACGTACACTCTCGCAACTGAGAAAACTCACGCCTTTGTTCTCACGAACATGAGAGGCAACTATACCATCCAGGAAATCAGAGAATATCTATACGACAGATACGCCATGAGAACAAAAGAGGCGTATCTGATGGAAAATACTGGAGAAGATAACCCACTGTACCTGGTGGTAACCACCTCCGATTGGACATTGACTAAAGTCAGAGCCAATGTCAAAACAATCTTCGCCTCCAGAGTGCAGTGGGAAGAGCGAAAAAACAAAAAAGACATCGCACAATGTATCAGATGCCAGGCCTGGGGGCATACCATGACAAACTGTCATAGAGCCATCAAGTGCTCTAATGGCGTTCAGCCATGTCACCGACATACATTGACCTTGCCATCAGCAAAAGGCTCAGGGAACTTTCCGATCTAGTTACGATCAACGCCCTGAGTTCGGACCATCTACCCGTCTTCTTCACCTGGGGCGAACTTGATCCTCCCCGCCCACAAGTTCGCCTAAGTTATAAAAACTTCAACTGGCCCCTGTTTCGGCAGAATCTCAACACCCGTACCCAAGTTCCTGGTCAAATTGACACCGCAGGAGCTCTCGAGCAAGAGGTTTCAACCTTGACCAGGAACATCCAGCAGACCCTAACTCCTCTTGCTAACCGGGTAACTGTCCATCAAGGCCGTGACGAGCTCTCCCGAGAGCTCATAGATCTTATTTCACAAAAGAATCGCACCCGGAGGAGGTGGCAACGCCTCCGAAGGGACGAGGATCGCCAACGAGTTCGGGAACTCGAGGGTGCCATTAAAAATGGCATCAGCGAGCTCCGGAACCGTAAATGGACACAAACCTATGTCCTCAAGACAACTCTCTGTGGCGCCTTCAGTCCAAAATGAAGCGGCAAGCTGTGCGTACCCCTGCCATTACTAGTAATGGCAGGGATTGCGTCACTGCCCAAGACAAGGCGGAAGCTCTGGCTTCGTTCATGGAGAGTATTCATTCCGGTCTACCACCAAACTCCCCTGAACAGGAGGAAATCGAACGTACAGTGACAGCCTTTGCTATTCGGAAGTACCCCATCCCCCAGCACTTGCTCGCTGAACTCATTGCCACGCCCGGCGAGATAACACGACTTATCCGCCGGCTCCCAAGCGAGAAGGCCCCCGGACCAGATGGCATCCCATATCGAGTCCTCAAAAATCCTCCCGCGTAAAGTTATTGTCCAGTTGGTACAAATAACAAACGCAATCCTCAAACTTCAGCATTTTCCCTTTCAATGGAAAATGGCTGAGGTGGTTATGATCCCCAAACCTGGAAAAAACCATTCACTCCCATCCTCGTACCGCCCAATCTCCTTTCTAAACTTCTTTGCCAAGCTCGTGGAGAAGTTAATCCTGTCCAGGGTCAACAGGATCGTCGAAAACTTCTCCATACTCCCAAACGAGCAGTTCGGTTTTCGCCCCCGTCACAACACCACTCTTCTTGCAGCCAAAATCTGCTGCGACACTTTCCAGGCGTTCAACAGGCGCATGAACACGACACTTCTGCTCCTAGACATGGAGCGCGCCTTCGATAGGGTCTGGCATGCAGGCCTTATCTACAAATTACTCGCAACTTTCAATTTCTCACTGCACATCATCTCCCTGATTCAGTCTTTCATCAGCGGCCGCTCTTTCTGCGTCAAACAAGAGGACGCCGCAGGGGTCGGCACTCAGTCCGCTGCTGTACTCCCTGTACACAGCGGACATTCCAAAATTCCAGAATACAAATCTGGCGCTGTACGCAGATGACTCCGCTGTTTACGCTCAATCCTTTTACACTCAAGCAACTAAATTCCAGCTAGCCCACCACCTTGCAATCCTTCAACCTTATTACGATAAGTGGAAGCTTGGTGTGAACGGTCAAAAGACGGAACTCCATATGCTTCCATAAGAAGCATACCAACAGCACCATGCCCAATCCACTTATCGTCAATAACATTCCAGTCACTCTGTCCCCTAAAGCCAAATACCTAGGTATCATCTTTGATCAGAGAATGAAATTCCACCACCACGTTTCCCACGCTTTGGCTCGCACCTTTAGTGCGCAGCAGAAATTGTACCCACTCATCGGTCTTAACTCCCCCTTATCACCAGATAATAAACTTCTGATCTACAAACAGGTCATAAGACCCATGCTCACCTATGGGGCCCTTGTCTGGAACATCATCTCAAGAACACAGAGGAACCGCCTTCAACGATTCCAAAATCGAATACTGAGGGGAGTGCTGTCGGAATCCAGGTACACCAGAATAACGGATATGCATGAACAATCATCCATTCCGCTTATATCTGCCTACCTGAATGAAATCAGCGACAAATTTTATCGTCAGCAAATTCACGGCTCCCCTCTAACTCGCGGAATCACCGCTCAGAGATATGATCCAGACAACCCCATAGTCCACGGTCCACCTTACAAGAATCTACCTATCTATTTTGAACCCCCATGAACACCTCCCTATCCCGAACCTGCTAATCATACCCCAAGTAATAACCCAAACCAATGCACAGCTAAAATCATATCTTCAAGACAGAATTAGACAAGTATTTTGGCGCAGGCGCCATATGCCATATTATTATTATTATTATTATAAAATTCCAACTGGTCAGCGATCTAGTGTGTAAACATCTCCTTTATCGCTGGCTATGAGGAAATACACTTGTCTAATTATCATCGGACAACCCCAATCTGACCACTACACTTAGGCGAAAACTGCCCAATTTAGCTGCAAATGCATCTCCCAATCCCGGTAGATTCTTGCACCCAATCCTCCCATCCCTTACAATCTTCCTCCACCTGCACCCAAACCATTACCTAGATGCTCATCAGGCCTCAGGATTGGTTGGGGTGAGGGGCTGTCGACCCCTATAAACCAAACCCGCGCTCACGCGCACATACCCTTTGTTGTTGAGGTAGCGTTCATGGACCATAACGCCCCAAGGGGCCCGACTTTTATTTTTTGTTTTTATATATGATTAAGTTAATTGGAAGTGGGGTTTTTTTGAACTTTTCCCCACAAAGAGGGCGCTGCGCGCTCGACACTCCACATCATCGCATCATCCCCTATTTTTTGAGCGGGCCAGTATGGTGGTCCAATGCGCGCCATTCGTGGTATTCACCAACGACCGAAAGGTCACCAGGTTAAAGGGCAACCAAGGAACGTTTAGAGCGGATCTAATGGAAAAGGACAGTGGCTTGTCGGCCAGAACATCGGCCAAGCTGGAAAGAGTGGCCACATAGCTCGCTAGGCGCGCATGTGGCACACTGAGTGTACTAGTTTAAGACATGTCCTTAGTATAAGTATTTGTTTTGTATGTATTGTTTGAGGGGGGCCTCACTCTCCTACACATATGTATTTAAACTTAAAAATAAAGAGATTTTGAGTTTAATTGGAAAATCTTTCTTTCTTATATGCCTTCTGTTAACCTAGTTAAATGAAACAGTTTCTTAATTACTAATGTAACTGAGTAATAAACCTAATTACTTAAGCCTAAACAACGGTGTGAAATGAATTAAATTATTCTATACTTAAATTATGCCTAAAATAATTGAGTAGTTAACTATCTCCTTTATTATCTTATTTGTTAATAACATTTAATTCCTACAGTTTTCATTTCACCCTTGATTCTCCTATTACTATAGAATTTTTTGTTATTGTATCTTGGAAAATCTGGTTTCCGTAATCATTGTTCAGTATCAGTTCTCTGACATCTGGATTCGTCATAAAACGTTGGGAATTACGTTCTATACTTTATTACAAACATATGTCATGATTTGGTGCAGCTACAGATTAGAATCACATTTGGTGTTTATCTAGGAGAACAAATAATTTTGTCTAATACATTTGTCAATTTTGGCTTATATTTGACTTGAAACTATAAAATTTGATACATTTTTTGCTTTAAGTGCTATCCCTTAATTCTCGACTAGATTAGTTATCGTTCCCAGAATCGTCATATGTTTGTAAAACCCATTAAGATAACATTTTAACTATTTCTAAAAACCATCTCTGGTATAACTCCCATGAAATTCTCCACTCAAAAATTATAAAGCTAGACAGACAACAGTCATTTCAAAACTCCTTCAGTAGATTCATAATAGGCAATATAGTCTTGTGCTTTATATTACCCTAATTATTATAGGTACTCTTAGAAAGAAAAATATTCAATAGTCATCTCATCTCACTCAAAGTCAATTAAATTGTAACAATGTTCCATAGGACACTATTTGGTAAAAGAGTATTGCTTAAAAATTTAGTAGCAAATTCGCTCAATGATTAATTATTATTGTTGTTTGATAAAAATGTATCAGAATTTTATTTATTTTTGTTAAAATCGTATAGGCATATATACAGCAAATGATTAAATACCTATACATGTATATATATATATATATATAAAATTTAATAATATTTTATTGTTTTCAATTCTTTTTTTTCAATGTGGCCTGTCGGTTTCGGTTTAGATCCTCTTCGGCTATTACCCGATTTGAATGTTTCATCTGATCGCCTTATTGAGGGTGCTGTAGGAATTTTAACTGAAACGGGCGCTGGCATACGAAGATGTTGGTAAACGGGAATCTGAAATAATTGTTAAAAAACAAGTTCTGGAGAAAGCAAAATAAGAATATTTCTTACGTATGAGAAAGTTGTATCAAACGTCACATCTTTAGGACTAGTAGTCCTCTGGGGTATATCATAATATTGACCAAGTATAGGATCCGATTTACGACTCCCAAATATTTTCTTGTGATCAATATGAATAAGATCGCTCTGAGCTTGCCTTTGCAATTGTTTGATGGTAAGTCTTTTAGCAAATGAGCCACCCATTAATACCCGTAGCGTAGTGGAACTGGCAATTCTTCTTATGTCAGGCGGAATTGTATAATCAAAGTCTTCGAAACATTTTCCTTTTGGATCGAGGCTTTTCCATTCTTTGAAGGTGCCAATAGTTTGAATGTATCTACCGCTTAGAGTCCACATTCTTGCGCTAAAATCTGCACTACAACTAAAAATGTTTAAGCATTATTTAAGTTCTCGATTTTAGTTGTGTTGTGTAGGTGCTTACCTTACTAAAATTTGGCATTCTTCAATATATGCTAATTCGGACACTGGCATGAAATGACCTTTGTAGCTATTCAATAAAATAGGTAAAGCTTGTCCTTGTATCATTCTTTTGGCTCTACCTTATAGTTTAGAAGAAAATATGATTTAGTATTTTTCTTTAATGGGATTTTTAATAAGATCTTTTACCTACAAACCTGTCGCCCCACATAAACGGGAATTGCAGTCTATATTTTGGCATGCAAATGTGTTCTTTTTCTTCGGGCAAAACGCAAAAATTTTTCATGAGCCAGGTTTTGATGTAACCAGCTGTTGTACCTAAAGAACAAAAACTGTCAATATCTATTCTGAAAAACGACTATAAGCAAAAATTTAAAATCTAATCATATCACAGGATTTATAGTTTTCCATTCATGGAACCGTACATGAACCAACTTTCATACTTATTGGATATTTTGCCTTTGAAATACTAAAAGATGTGAATCTTAAGTGATGAAATCTCAGGAAGTTTTAGCAAACAAAGAAACATACCTATAAATAAAAATTCATTTTTTTCATCAGAAGTCATCGCGATAACGTAATCGCCAGATTTATGTACCGCCGAAAACGAGGTGATGAAACCACCAGAAATGTGATGATTCCAGACTTGAATAACGCCATTTTCTAAAGCCACCAAAAGTGTGCCCACTTGCGGGTGAGTTTTCCTAGCACAAAGAAACAGCAAACAATGGACCGCTAATCTTCGCAAATTGAAACACTCTTCTGGCATTTGGATTATTGAAAGGCGTCCCTTTCGACCCATTATTTTTGGTCCTGGAATTAATGTAGAATTAGATTTTGCAAACATAAAAATGATTTATCACCGAAAAGTGTTTTTTCAGCAGACGGTCTTAATGTTTGCCGTTTAGCCTGGGAAGTGAATCTACTGCTGTACAGTGATGCTCTTGTTGATCTTCCTGATGCTCTTCTTCCATCTGAATAATGCCTGAAAAACAATAAGGGAGTGATGTTTTCAATTTTTATTAGGAGACATTGTCTTGTATCAGTTGAGTGTATGAAGTCTATACGATACAAGTCACGGATTCCAGGGTCACCAAACTGGGGTACCAACCTGAGGCAGAATCGCCTTAAGTGAAAAGTGATAAAAATGGCAACTCAAATTACATAACATTTTTTTTTTCCCTCACAAGCGATAAGCGACCGGATGTCAGAGTTCGATGTCCCCAATACTCTTTACGACAATCCGAATAAAAAAAAAAAAGTCAATAAAAAATTATAAAATTAGGACGCGATTAACCGAAAATCACTATACTCATGTGTCATGTGTGCCGGATCTTGCATCATATCCTAAATAAAAACTTACAAAAAAAAAAAACACAAAGTCGTTTATCACTCGATAAACGAGGTCAAATAAGAGGATTGGTTCGGGAAATGCTAAATGACCGCCCACGTAACAGATTTTTGGTGGGAATTGAGAACTATTCAAGCAGGTTACAATCAGAAAAAGAGAGATAACATCCAGCAGTTGATTTGATAGTAAGATTTCAAGAATCAAGAAAATTGGCAGTGAGTGAGTCTCCACCAAAAAGTTTTTTTTATCTTTGTTTTGCCTCGGGCAAAAAGCTTAAAAGTTTGCGATTGACTATTGTCCAGTAAGAGTTATAAAGTAGTATCAGGTTTTCCTTTGTTTGTGCGTGCTATTATACAGTTGTTTCTCTCATTTGCAAATAGACCCTGTTCAGTCTTCACCACTTAATTTTGTAGTAACCCGAGAAAATAATTAACATCAAATAGAACCGCTCTCCATTTACCATCTAACTAATTAATAGAGTACTTGGGTGGATCACTACACCATTATTCCATATAGCGAAAACTTGGAAAATAGAATTAAAATTCCTTACTTACGTTGAACTTATAGACCCTTCTCGTTTATCTCGACTTTTCTCGACAGTGAAATGAATTTTGATGCGTTCAGTAGGTTGAGAAACTAGAAACTTCTTGTAGGGTTGACCGGTTTCCAATCGCCAGAGCAAAAGTTCACCCGCGTATGAGCTAAAAAATCAACAATTTATTTTCAAATTTGGTATAAATAATACTATTTTAACCTTGTAGCTAATGTTTCGTAAGTCCGAACGGCTCCCGCACTAATATCCTCAGTATGTCTCAAGTCCCAATTTTTGCTATAAAAGAGTTTTACATTATAGTTTTAAATAGTTTGATGGAAGGATTTACCTGAAAGCCCCCTCTGGACCAACAGCTTCCCCTGTATCCGCAAATTCGGTCACTCTTTTGTTCCATCCCATAGCCAAAATTCTACCTTTTACCCAAATTACACATTGAACCTCGCACCAAGTTTCTATGTTCATATTTCTCAAACACGTGCCAGTATTGAAGTTCCATATTTTTAATGTACCATCATGAGCACCTACAATTTTGAAGGTAATGTTTGCAGGTTTTACATTTTTTGAATACCTGTTAATAATCGTTGATATCCAGGATCGAATGTAGCAGCGGTTATTTCAACGCTTATACTCTCTCCATACAACATTCTTGTATGACATTCTTTTATTACCAGCAAACGTCTACCGTCAAATGGATTCCATACGATTATGTAACTGTCTAAGCCACATGTAATGAGCAGCTAGAAAATAATTTGAACTGAAGTGATCGCACAAGGTGTGTCTCATTTGGTATTTATTTTATATGAAATGATCATGCATCAAGAACGAAAAAATATAAAATCTGAAACTACCAATTTGGTAATGATGACGAAGATGTACAAATGAATAACCGAAGCGATAAGAGACTTCAGATGCTTTGGGAAGAAAAATAGAAACGAATAGACCTATAGTAGAAAACAGCAAGAATAGAATTTGTGAGACTCCATTAAATTCAGAAAGATGTTAAATTGGCGAGCGGTGACTTTAGTTTCTGAGTGGAGACACAAGTTAAAGTGGGTCCTATTTGCGGGTGGAAAGTGAAACACATAAATATTGTGGTCAATTCAAATAAAGTTCATTTTATTGAAATAAATAATGTTTGTTATTAAATAACAGGGCGTCGGTAATAAATAAATTTACAATAAAACTATTCAATCTCTAATAAGCATAAATTAACTGCTGAGGAAAATTTATATGATTCCAAGTAAAATTTCAATTTACAGTTTGACTCGACTCTTGCCTTCACAATTTCTGGCTAAACATAAAAAAACTCTACTTACATTTAACAATGATATATTTACTGCTGGCCACACCTAATTTTATGGAAATCTTATTGGTCGAAAGAATTTACTTTAATTATGAACACTTAATAAAAAAAACTCGAATATTTTCGCGCTGTTATTTCACGTCGTGCTTCTTCTCTCGGTTAATTCGACAACTCTTTCACGCCGTAGTTCTGACTTTCTGGACACAGGTCTCTCGATTACTACTTGTTTCTTGATTACTCAACCACTGGTCTTTCACGCCGTAATTCTGCCCGTTTACTCGCTCTTTTTCGAACACTGATTTTCTCCTACCAAAGATGTCTTGCTATATCATTGGTCCCTCCATTGTCTTGAATTTCTTTTTTTTTTCTGACTTCGATTTTTTCGTGGTTGAATCATTCGATCAATTAGTGTATTTGGTCTCCTTTTAATTAATTATCAAGGGCGTCGCTAAGTGGTTTAAGTGGGTATCATCATATAGGCTCGTGCATGATTTATTGATCTTTTTAGAAATTTTTCTGGTTGTGTTGTCTAAGTGATGATCTCTCCTGGAATGGTTGTTTGGTAAGTCCTTGTTATTCTTGATTAAAATGTCTGTAGTCACTTCAATATCATTATATGCACGTTGAAAAATATACTATTTTGCAAAACAGGTAAGCCGGACGAAAGTGTATTATTCCCAAAAATAAGCAGTAGACAAAAGTGTAAGTAGTACAGGGTTTCTTGATATTTGACCATTAAGTGATTAGGGCGGACGAAACTATCTCTCCTAAATTTTATACTAACTAAGTGTTTTGCAACTTTCTTGGCGGTTTAAATTTTTTTTATTTGCTATATTATGTGTTCCATAATTACAATAGGAAAAATGCAATATGAGCATTTTCTATTCCTCTTTTGGCTGATCGTCTATTTTCTGGTGTTCCAGGTCCGGATAGATTTGTTATTTGTTGGTCCTGCTCAGTGGCGGCTCGTCAGAGGAGGCAGGGGAGGCTAAGCATCCCCCAAAAAATTGAAAAGCTAGTCCGGCCCGAAGGGCCGGAGTTATAAGGGAGTCCGGCCCGAAGGGCCGGAGTTATAAGGGAGTCCGGCCCGAAGGGCCGGAGTTATAAGGGAGTCCGGCCCGAAGGGCCGGAGTTATAAGGGAGTCCGGCCCGAAGGGCCGGAGTTATAAGGGAGTCCGGCCCGAAGGGCCGGAGTTATAAGGGAGTCCGGCCCGAAGGGCCGGAGTTATAAGGGAGTCCGGCCCAAAGGGCCGGAGTTATAAGGGAGTCCAGCCCGAAGGGCCGGAGTTATAAGGGAGTCCGGCCCGAAGGGCCGGAGTTATAAGGAAGTCCGGCCCGAGTTATAGGGGAGTCCGGCCCGAAGGGCCGGAGTTATTTTAATCACGAGGCTCAGTCTATAATTCTATTGGTCAGCAGATAATTTGAAGCCAATTAAAAACCGGGAGTATTTAAAATGCGTTTTTTTGTGTCCAATCAAAGAGCCGAAAATATTCGAAAACTTTAGTTTTATCAAATTGACTTTGGAATGTTAGAAGCGCGGGATTGATTAAAATAATGTTATCAGATTTTTCTAAATTACATTGAAATATCGAAATTTGTAAATTATTATTTCAATTAGGAATCAGGAATAAAAAATTGAGATTGAATTTTCAATTTTTTGAGGGAGGCTTAGCCGAACTCGCTTATAACTCCGGCCCTTCGGGCCGGACTCCCCTATAACTCGGGCCGGACTTCCTTATAACTCCGGCCCTTCGGGCCGGACTCCCTTATAACTCCGGCCCTTCGGGCCGGACTCCCTTATAACTCCGGCCCTTCGGGCCGGACTCCCTGGTTTTCTATGGGGTTTTTTTAAGATTTTCTTTTTTCAAAAAATGGTGGTTTTTGCAAACATATACTACTTTATCGTTGTCTTTGTCTTACTCACTATAATCAATAAGTAAACCTTATAACGTAATTTTCATTGAAATTGAACTAGAAACAAGGTTCCTATGATTTATTTGGGGAATTTTAATTATCATAATCATTATTAATTAATTATTAAATTGAATTTTGAACAAAAAACCCTTTTAAAATGTTATTTTTGTTTTCCGAGATGAAATGTGGCAATGTTGCTTTTAGTTGGCCATTTTGAAGTTACGTCTTTTGATTTTTTGCCAGTTTTTTCTCGAATTTTCGACTTTTCCAGGGTTTTTTAATGGAAAAAAGCGATTTAACATACGAGGTTTTGAGTTTTCTTCATTTTTTAGTACAAATTTCTAGTTTAAAATGTCATAATTAGCAGAATCGCATTTAAAATGCTTTTGATGTGGCAACATCGCTTGTGGCTAACTTCAATCAAGGAAGCATTTTTGACAGTCGGCCATTTTCAATTGACGTGTTTACATTTTTATTCAGTTTTTCTTCAAATTTTTCACCTTTCTGGGGCTTTTTCAGTCGGAAAAACTGATTTAAAGTACAAGGCTTTGAATTTTCTTCATTTTCCACCAAAAATTTCCAGTTTTTCAACGGGGTAAGTGAAAAAAACTTTAGTTTCATCAAGTAGGTTTTGGGATGTCATTTTCGTTGTTTTTTTTTTTTGGGATTTTTATTTAGGGTTTTTGGGGTCCGGGGATCATCGTTTTCCACCACTTTTTTTCTTAAAATTCGCAAAATAAAAAAAAACTTTTTTTTGACGTTGACAGCTGTCAAATTTTTTTGACACAAATCGATAGTTAGCATCGTGAAACTGCCTTGTAGCGGGGTTTGATTTTCGTAGCTTTTATAGTAGAGCGGAGAAAAAGTCGAACATGTGTGAAATTTGACAGGTGACATGTGTCGATATCGACAAAAGTTTTATTCGTTCATTGTCAACTGATTTTAATACTCCGGCCCTTCGGCCGTAATCTTTGAAACAAAAAGACCTCATTTTGTATCGATTGTCAAAAAAACCTAAGTCTACTTTGAAATTTCAATTTTTTGACGTTTGTTAGGTATATCATAAGTAGTGTTGCCATATGTTTTTTTCAAATCTCGAGCTCGAAGGGCCAGAGTTATACGAGCCCGACAGGCCGGAGTTATTTTAATCATGAGTCGAGGTCCGAGGTCATACGAGCCCGAAGAAGAGCCGGAGTTATACGAAACCGTTTATTGTCAACTGATTTTAATACTTCGGTCCTTCGGACCTTGATCTTTGAAGCAAAAAGACGCCATTTTATATCGACTGTCAAAAAACCCAAGGCTTACTTTTAAATTTCAATTTCATTTCATTTTTCGACGTTTATTGTATCATGAGCAACGTTGCCATATCGTCGTTAATTTTGCTAATGGGACGTATATTGAATTTCTTAAATTTTACAAGCGTACTTATATGATATACGCCTTTTAGGAAGATGCCTATTTCTTATTTCAAAACATACGTCTTAAAGAAAAATGTGTATAACCCAGAAACTACTGGCAGATCATATGCACCAATAAGAGGGCGTATATAAATTTGATGTTTTGCAACATAAATTCCCTGAAAACGAAAAATTGCCTATTTCTTATATACATTCGTTTGTCAAATTAACGACAATATGTTTTTATCAAATCTCGATTTATAGATTATTTTGAACCCAATCAAAAGCCGGGAATATTCAAAATTTAAAGCCAATCAAAAGCCGTGAATATTCAAAATGTGATTTTTAGTCGATATTCCGAGTCTCAGTTCTCTCCGATGTACCGGATTATTGAGGGCATGGGCACCCCAAAACAAATTTTGCCTGCTGCGCAGTGATCACCTTACCGTAATGCATTATTTTCCAGCCTCCTCACTTGAAATAGTCACGAGCCGCCACTGGTCCTGCTTGTCGGAACCTAGGTTGAGGTGTCGAGTTTTAGCTTCCTCCAATGTAGGTGATTCTTTTGGAAGTAACTATCGCAGAGATCATAAATGTGGCTTTGTTATGAAGTTTGGTGTCTCTGCGTATGGTGGTGTTTCGGACAAATCATGGAGCATTAAATATGTTGCTCAGAATGCGGTTTTCCAGTGATGATATTGGCAGGAGCTTACTTGGAGTGGCTTTTTTTTCGTCTTGATGTTCAGTTTGCTCGTTCTGTTGAGAAGCGGGTAGAGCTGTTTGAGCTGATAGGCTTTGTTTCTGGCGTGTTTGATGTGCTTTTTCTAGTTCAGGCGATTGTCGAAGTAGATTTCTAAATATATTTCTGACTTTCTGGACACAGGTCTTTCGATTCTCGATCACTACTTGTTTCTTGATTAATCAACCGACACTGGTCTTTCACGCCGTAGTTCTGCCCGTTTACTCGCTCTTTATCGAACACTGATTTTCTCCTGCTAAAGTTGCCTTTTTATATCATTGGTCCCTCCATTGTCCTGAATTTTTTCTGACCTCGTTTTTTCGTGGTTGAATCATCCGATCAATTAGTGTATTTAGTCCCTTTTTAATTAATTATCAAGGGCGTCGCTAAGTGGTTTGTTAAGTGCGGGTATCATCATATAGGTTCGTGCATGATTTATTGATCCTTTTAGAAATTTTTCTGACCCTTTGGAATGTTAATTGTTGAAAGCACTTGAAAAAAAGGTCCATGAACTTTTGCTTTATTCACATTTCAATATATTAGTCAATATTAGGGTATCGGCTTTCAATAATTTCTGGATATCGATGTTCAGATAAATTTTAGTTGAAGTTTCTGGTTGTGCTGTCTAAGTGATGATCTCTCCTGGAAAGGTTCTGTAGTCACTACAAATTATTCTAGAATAAGGACAGGACAAAAAAGGATGAACTACTACTAGCAGAGAGCAAATACCTACTGCATATACTGGAAGAATTCTACGAGCTACTATAAGAGACAACTTATATGAAAAAGATAGAATTATTGTCCTGACAACGCAATGTAGACCCTAATGCAAGAAAAATTCTCCCAAAATCGCGATTTTTACTCCAATCTCTGTGTCAAACAAATAGCATAGGTACTTAATTCGTTCGTGATTTTACTTCACAAGAAAGTAGACATGATCAAACGACCCAATGGCATTCTTAATCAACTTCACCTAAAAATTTTCCACCAGAATTGGAATTGAAGCCAAAGAAGTTCAAACACAGATGGAAAAAATCTTGAACAATTTACGTTTTAAAGAGACCATCTGAAGAACTAACATTTAAATGGAAGAACTAGCTTCAAATGATGTCTGATGGACCATTCATAAACTCATGTGACTCAAATGAGAGATGACCAATACACCAAAAAGCATTGACCTTTTCGTTAGATTTTCAAATCCCTCCTTCAGTTTTTTTTTTGTATACCTTGAATAACTTGTTATATAAAACAACCGATATCCCACTCGAATGTGTATTTCCATCCGTATGTTCGCTGCTCTGTTTCGGACTCAACGGTATAATCGCTATCATAACACTGCCGATAATCAATTGCCTGGATTCCGGATTATACAATGCATTCAAATCGCTTCTTTCGCCAAGCTTTGCGGGCAAGTCCAAATAAGTTTGTACGCAATCGTGCATCGGTATGTCCCAAACTTTGATGCATTTGTCTTTGGACAGACTGTATAACATTTTTCCCATATCTTGGAATACTAGTTGGACTATGCCAGCGTGATGGCCGTAAAAAACACTGGTGGGTCTGTTTGGTACGAACGGGTTCCATATTCTTATTAAACAATCGGGACCGCCTAACAATAAAATGTTGTTAATTAGTAATTATATTGAGGGTTTTTACCAACCTGTTGCTACAATGTGAATTTCTTCATCGAATGAAAAGCACCAAACTCCAGCAGTAATTTTATAGTTGTATACAGTACTACTGTCAATAATATCAGTCATTAAAAATCCTTGTTTAGGGCACTGAGCGCACGATACCACGCAGTGCAAAGTGGAATAAAAAGACACTTGCCGGACAAAGTCGTTGTGAACGTGTGGATAGTATTTGACCGAGAAATGTTTAACGGATCCTGAAGCGACCTGCGACCACTTGACGTCGAGCAAAAGTATTCCAGGTTGGGATTTGAATGGTCCTCTACCAAGGGTATTTATATATAATATGGTTACACCGCCTCCCATGTCTCCCAACACCAGTTTAGATTCTATTTCTTCATCTTGATAGAATTTATAATACATTGTAGTCACGGCGTAGTTTAAGAAACTCATTATGACTCTTAGTTCGAATTTTCTTGCTGACGTATCATAGAATCTGAAAAATATAAAAGTTATAATATAGTTTAGGTAAAATAGTATCAAAATCTACCTCAAATCCCGCTCACTAGAAGACGTACAAATCACGCTAACGTCTGGCAAAACAACTAAATCAGTTACCCAAGTACTTTTGATTTTCAATTTGGGACAAGTGGATACCACTTGTCTTTCCAACGTCATGTCCAAGGTCCAGTAGTTTATTATACCGTCACGACTGCAAGTCATTATGCTGCCATTATGAAAGTTATGACTTCTATCTGGCTTGACTGCAAACAAAACAAAAAATTAATAAATATGTTAGTTTATTAAACAAAATGTTGTACCTGTAGGATAAAATGTTACCCGATTGATTGGATGTCTGTGATGGCTTTTGATCATCGTAGGGCCTGTTGGGATTGGAGCATCGAGTGATTTATATTCGGTGCTCACTTCTTGTTGCTCGAAACCAAGGATCAAGTAGGAAATAAATTCATCCCATGTTACAAATCCGTTGCTGAAAAAAATTTAGAGAGTTTGAAAAATAACTACATTTTTACTTTTGTACCATTATTATTGTGCGACTGCTAAATCCACAGGTTGCTGATAGAATGGTAATCTGTCGAGTAATCGATGAAAGATTTCAAAATGAAATTGAAAGATATCGAAACTGGAAAGGATATATTTTCACTTTACCTTGCTCTACTTCCAAACTTCACGCAGCTGGCCAGCTCACTCAGGAAGTTCAGGCCCCATGCGTAGGAGTGCAACGTAAATTGTCTTGATTTAACCGGTCGCGGCAAACGGAAAACCGCGGGTCTATTTTCTCGAACCACACGAAGCGAGCGAAGTGTTTTTAGCAACTGGTACTGCTTGTCAGCAGGAAGTGTCAGGATTTGTCCCCTTTTCAGTGTTTAACGCGCGCATTTTTAGCAAAGCCGTATCATTCTTAGGTATAGAACACGCGCAATTCAATCAGAATAAAAGAAAACAAAAAATGAAGAAAAACGAATCAATTTTCATTCCCAAATAGGATTTAACATCCTAAATACCCAATTTAACCTACAAACATAATTTTCTTACCATGTAGCATTCATTCTCAAAAATTCGCTGTCCATTACCTCCTTCGGGTATTCTATTCTGGCTACTGTCGATAAATTATTTATTAGTTTATCTTTGGTCATTCTTCTTCCTTCTTCTTTTTCAAACAATTGGTGAAGTTGGGTCAGTTCGATTTCGTCCAACAATTGATGCATGGGTTTGGTAGAATCTTTTTTCCTTTTTCTAAACCTTTGACCTGCTCGAAAGCCATGGGGCCTATCCATATCATATTGCATTTTATTTGCGAGATTTTTAAACTATTTGTATATTTGTGGTATGACACTAGTCACGCTATGTCAAAAAAGTTTAGGTATAGGTGTATAGGTACAGCAGGTCAGTGCCGGCTCAAGCCTACTTTTAGGATGGAGCGAGATCCGTCTTTGGAGCTCCTAATTCAAATATGAAACTTCTGAGCATGATTTTGACCATATCTAATATCAATATCAATTGATAATTTGAAAACATTTCTTTGGTATACCAGTTCTCACCACTTTAATAATTAGGTAGGAAGCTCTTTCTGTATTAGTAACCAAGATATTTGTGATTTGGTTCACATTTTTCGATAGGATCGCAACCAATAATCAACTTTGGTAATATCATTTATTAACACTCAGGCCCGATTTATTCATCTTCAGATATACTTGCTGTTAATTACATAATATATTTATGCCAAGATAAAGTTACCGACCTATACTCTATTGGTCGGCGGACAACTAACGGGATTGCAGATAGCGTTTTCTTCCATCAGATTGCATTGCATTACCTGACAGTTTATCAGAAGGTGAGTAAAAATGGACAGAAGGGTTAGATCGAAAAAAATCACCTATTAGGTGGCTATGGAATTAGCGCAACCACTTTGGCCTTTTAAAAATTTATATTTGAGTTTTTAATGTAAGTATCAGTGATGACGTCACGGAATTAAATTGCAAGTCACGTAATGATGATAACATCATTAAAATTATCTGATTGATCGATAATTCCAGGCATTTGGCCATCAAGGATACAAGACAAATACTGATGGTGACGTCATTGAATTTATTTAATTCCAGGCATTTAACCACCTAGGATATAAGACAACTACTGATAATGACGTCACTGAGATTTTTAGAAATCACCTACTAGGTGGCTATGGAATTAGGGCAACCACTTTAGCAATTTAAAAATTTATATTTGAGTTTTTAATGTAAGTATCAGTGATGACGTCACGGAATTAAATTGCAAGTCACGTAATGATGATAACATCATTAAAATTATCTGATTGATCGATAATTCCAGGCATTTGGCCATCAAGGATACAAGACAAATACTGATGGTGACGTCATTGAATTTATTTAATTCCAGGCATTTAACCACCTAGGATATAAGACAACTACTGATAATGACGTCACTGAGATTTTTAGAAATCACCTACTAGGTGGCTATGGAATTAGGGCAACCACTTTAGCAATTTAAAAATTTATATTTGAGTTTTTAATGTAAGTATCAGTGATGACGTCACGGAATTAAATTGCAAGTCACGTAATGATGATAACATCATTAAAATTATCTGATTGATCGATAATTCCACGCATTTGGCCATCAAGGATACAAGACAAATACTGATGATGACGTCATTAAATATATTTAATTGATTATTCTAGCGATTTGACCGCCTAGGATATAAGACAAGTACTAATAATGACGTCACTGAAATTTTTAGAAATCACCTACTAGGTGGCTATGGAATTAGGGCAACCACTTTAGCCTTTTAAAAATTTATATTTGAGTTTTTAATGTAAGTATCAGTGATGACGTCACGGAATTAAATTGCAAGTCACGTAATGATGATAACAATATTAAAATTATCTGATTGATCGATAATTCCAGGCATTTGGCCATCAAGGATACAAGACAAATACTGATGATGACGTCATTAAATATATTTAATTGATTATTCTAGCGATTTGACCGCCTAGGATATAAGACAAGTATTGATAATGACGTCACTGAGATTTTTAAAAATCACCTACTAGGTGGCTATGGAATTAGGGCAACCACTTTAGCCTTTTAAAAATTTATATTTGAGTTTTTAATGTAAGTATCAGTGATGACGTCACGGAATTAAATTGCAAGTCACGTAATGATGATAACAATATTAAAATTATCTGATTGATCGATAATTCCAGGCATTTGGCCATCAAGGATACAAGACAAATACTGATGATGACGTCATTAAATATATTTAATTGATTATTCTAGCGATTTGACCGCCTAGGATATAAGACAAATATTGATAATGACGTCACTGAGATTTTTAAAAATCACCTACTAGGTGGCTATGGAATTAGAGCAACCACTTTGGCCTTTTAAAAATTTATATTTGAATTTTTAATGTAAGTATCAGTGATGACGTCACGGAATTAAATTGCAAGTCACGTAATGATGATAACAATATTAAAATTATCTGATTGATCGTTTATTCCAGGCATTTGGCCATCAAGGATACAAGACAAATACTGATGATGACGTCATTAAATATATTTAATTGATTATTCTAGCGATTTGACCGCCTAGGATATAAGACAAGTATTGATAATGACGTCACTGAGATTTTTAAAAATCACCTACTAGGTGGCTATGGAATTAGGGCAACCACTTTGGCCTTTTAAAAATTTATATTTGAATTTTTAATGTAAGTATCAGTGATGACGTCACGGAATTAAATTGCAAGTCACGTAATGATGATAACAATATTAAAATTATCTGATTGATCGATAATTCCAGGCATTTGGCCATCAAGGATACAAGACAAATACTGATGATGACGTCATTAAATATATTTAATTGATTATTCTAGCGATTTGACCGCCTAGAATATAAGACAAGTACTAATAATGACGTCACTGAAATTTTTAGAAATCATCTATTCGGTGGCTATGGAATTAGCGCAACCACTTTGGCCTTTTAAAAATTTATATTTGAGTTTTTAATGTAAGTATCAGTGATGACGTCACGGAATTAAATTGCAAGTCACGTAATGATGATAACATCATTAAAATTATCTGATTGATCGATAATTCCAGGCATTTGGCCATCAAGGATACAAGACAAATACTGATGATGACGTCATTAAATATATTTAATTGATTATTCTAGCGATTTGACCGCCTAGGATATAAGACAAATATTGATAATGACGTCACTGAGATTTTTAAAAATCACCTACTAGGTGGCTATGGAATTAGAGCAACCACTTTGGCCTTTTAAAAATTTATATTTGAATTTTTAATGTAAGTATCAGTGATGACGTCACGGAATTAAATTGCAAGTCACGTAATGATGATAACAATATTAAAATTATCTGATTGATCGTTTATTCCAGGCATTTGGCCATCAAGGATACAAGACAAATACTGATGATGACGTCATTAAATATATTTAATTGATTATTCTAGCGATTTGACCGCCTAGGATATAAGACAAGTATTGATAATGACGTCACTGAGATTTTTAAAAATCACCTACTAGGTGGCTATGGAATTAGAGCAACCACTTTGGCCTTTTAAAAATTTATATTTGAATTTTTAATGTAAGTATCAGTGATGACGTCACGGAATTAAATTGCAAGTCACGTAATGATGATAAAATCATTAAAATTATCTGATTGATCGATAATTCCAGGCATTTGGCCATCAAGGATACAAGACAAATACTGATGATGACGTCATTAAATATATTTAATTGATTATTCTAGCGATTTGACTGCCTAGAATATAAGACAAGTACTAATAATGACGTCACTGAAATTTTTAAAAATCACCTACTAGGTGGCTATGGAATTAGGGCAACCACTTTAGCCTTTTAAAAAATTTATATTTGAGTTTTTAATGTAAGTATCAGTGATGACGTCACGGAATTAAATTGCAAGTCACGTAATGATGATAACAATATTAAAATTATCTGATTGATCGATAATTCCAGGCATTTGGCCATCAAGGATACAAGACAAATACTGATGATGACGTCATTAAATATATTTAATTGATTATTCTAGCGATTTGACTGCCTAGAATATAAGACAAGTACTAATAATGACGTCACTGAAATTTTTAGAAATCACCTACTAGGTGGCTATGGAATTAGGGCAACCACTTTAGCAATTTAAAAATTTATATTTGAGTTTTTAATGTAAGTATCAGTGATGACGTCACGGAATTAAATTGCAAGTCACGTAATGATGATAACAATATTAAAATTATCTGATTGATCGATAATTCCAGGCATTTGGCCATCAAGGATACAAGACAAATACTGATGATGACGTCATTAAATATATTTAATTGATTATTCTAGCGATTTGACTGCCTAGAATATAAGACAAGTACTAATAATGACGTCACTGAAATTTTTAGAAATCACCTACTAGGTGGCTATGGAATTAGGGCAACCACTTTAGCCTTTTAAAAAATTTATATTTGAGTTTTTAATGTAAGTATCAGTGATGACGTCACGGAATTAAATTGCAAGTCACGTAATGATGATAAAATCATTAAAATTATCTGATTGATCGATAATTCCAGGCATTTGGCCATCAAGGATACAAGACAAATACTGATGATGACGTCATTAAATATATTTAATTGATTATTCTAGCGATTTGACCGCCTAGAATATAAGACAAGTACTAATAATGACGTCACTAAAATTTTTAGAAATCACCTACTAGGTGGCTATGGAATTAGGGCAACCACTTTAGCAATTTAAAAATTTATATTTGAGTTTTTAATGTAAGTATCAGTGATGACGTCACGGAATTAAATTGCAAGTCACGTAATGATGATAATATTAAAATTATCTGATTGATCGATAATTCCAGGCATTTGGCCATCAAGGATACAAGACAAATACTGATGATGACGTCATTAAATATATTTAATTGATTATTCTAGCGATTTGACTGCCTAGAATATAAGACAAGTACTAATAATGACGTCACTGAAATTTTTAGAAATCACCTACTAGGTGGCTATGGAATTAGGGCAACCACTTTAGCAATTTAAAAATTTATATTTGAGTTTTTAATGTAAGTATCAGTGATGACGTCACGGAATTAAATTGCAAGTCACGTAATGATGATAACAATATTAAAATTATCTGATTGATCGATAATTCCAGGCATTTGGCCATCAAGGATACAAGACAAATACTGATGATGACGTCATTAAATATATTTAATTGATTATTCTAGCGATTTGACTGCCTAGAATATAAGACAAGTACTAATAATGACGTCACTGAAATTTTTAGAAATCACCTACTAGGTGGCTATGGAATTAGGGCAACCACTTTAGCAATTTAAAAATTTATATTTGAGTTTTTAATGTAAGTATCAGTGATGACGTCACGGAATTAAATTGCAAGTCACGTAATGATGATAAAATCATTAAAATTATCTGATTGATCGATAATTCCAGGCATTTGGCCAT